CAGAACAGGGCTCAAAAAAAGAACTAGATAAGTTCATGGAGAATAGGTCCATCAATGGTTATTAAGTAAGACTGTCAGGATGGAATTTCATGCTCTGGGTGTCCCTAAACTTCTGACTGCCAGAAACTGGGACTAGAGAGTAGGGATGTAACTATTCAATAAGCTTATTTTTATCGAATACTTGACTAGTCCCTCAACTATTCACTTTTCCCCCTCCTGCTACCTCTATCAGAGGAACCAGGGCGGGAGAGCAGGAACTGGAGCTGGTCCCTGGCTTGCGCCCAATCCCAGACACTGCACTTCTGCTTTTTAAATGTATTTATTTAAAATATTTTTAACCCAACATCTATATTTAAAATATTCGAGGCAGCTTATAAAATTTTAAATTTTTTTAAAAAGAGCCTTCTGGATCTTAAAACATTTAAAAATCAGAGGCACAGTGGGGTTGGAATAGTTGATTCCCGTCTCATGCCAGGCCCCTGCTGCTGTGGACCAGCCGGCTCTTAATACATTTAAAAGGCAGAGCCGCAGCGCTGTTAACTCCCAGAGCTGGGAGTTAACCCCACTTTTCAACTAGTCGATAGAAATTCCATTTTTTGGGGAAAATTTTTTGTAGAAGACATGGAACTGCCTTATTAGTTATTTTAGGCTTTAGAAAGTGTGTTATGATTTTGTTTTATATCAGGCATCTCAAACTCAATTTACCTCAAAATCCTCCAAGCAAGTCAGCAAGCATCCCCTCCAGAAGGGCGAGAGAGGTTGGCGGGAGCCTCCGTGTACTCCCCTCACATGTCTTCCAGCCCCGTCTGCCAGCTTGGATGCTCTCTACCACCCCTGGGTATCCCATAACCTCGCCAGCTGTCTCCAGGTGATCTAACCCTCACCGCCCACCCTGGGTCCTTCGCCAACACCAGAAGCAGCACAGAGGGGCTAGAGTGGCTTCCAGCTGCTAATTCGACACTGCTGCTGGCACGTCCCTGTGGCCAATGGCAGATGAGTGCCAAGCCATGCTGTGTGGGGCCCGGCAGTTGCCACCTCAACCAACCTATGGACAGGACAGTTCCTCATACTTAGGTTACCCCACAGGGCCTTGAGAGGGCTCAGGCCAGCAGAAGGGCCTGCCCCCCACA